GTGCCATTGCATATCAGCCTGGGTAACAAGAGCGAAAACTCCAACTCAAAAAAAAAAAAAAGAAAAGAAAAGAAAATGGGACATCTGGTCAAGTCCCTGATTTACTCCAGGCCCAAGTCACCCCTAAACATGGCCTTTCACCCAACTTCAAAAATCAAACACTAGGAAACATTGAGTCTTTCTCCCAACACCTTGGCTTCCTTCCAGGACTCAGTTTCCCCTAAAATGAGCCCAACTCGACCAGATAGCAGAGGCAGGGTTGAGGTTTCTGTGGTCCAACACGCTGGGGTTCCGTCTCAGCTCAACCATGCCTTGGGGACTGAGGAGGGGAATGGTCTCAGACCAGGACCTTCACCTGCAGCCTTGGTTTCCCCATCTGGAATAAGGAGTGAGATCCAGCATGTAGCAGTCAAGGTATACAGTAGGTGCTTAATAAACGTATCATGCTATTAGTAGAGCAGGAACTTTTCTCTCTGGCTGTGACCTTGGGCAGGTCTCTTGTCCATACTGAGCCTCGGTTTTCCCATCTGGAAGATGGAGCCATGCATACCAACCAGAGGCCGCCCGCCTTCTGCCATCCCAGCACCTCTTGCTCCTGGCAACCACGATGGCAGTGATGGATGGGCCCTCATGGGGGCCAAGAAGAGGGTCCCTCGCCCCTGCACCCTGAAACACTTAGGCAGTGATATTTTGGAAATTGAAAGGGTTTTTACTAAAAGGATCTATGGGGGGATGAAGGGTAAATTCTGGAAGGGGTGGAAGCGTCGTGTGGGGGTTGGAGCATGGTGACAGCTGTGGGAGGCTCTCCTTGCAGGAACACTTGGTCGTTGGTCTCCATCCCACCCACTGGACTGAAACCACCATAGCCAGGACTAACGACACCTGGAGATGTCCCTCCTGTCTCTAAAACACCCGACCCCCGCTTCCCCAGGTAGGGCTGACTGGGCACGTAAACAGAGTCCTGGGTCCTTAGTCCATAGCCCTCTCAATGCTGCTTCTTGTGGAGGGCTATGGGGCCGGAGGGTGGCGGCTGGTGGAAGAATGCAGGCCACTGAAGGCAACGGTAGGCCAGCAGGTGGGGGCCCAGTGCATACAGCAGATTGCACACGAAGAAGCAGCCCCAGGTGTCCTCAGGCACACGGTAGGTGAAGGGTGTGCGCAGGTGCATGGAAGCCCCCATGTGCGAGAACTGTGCCTGGTAGCCAAACAGGAAAGATGGATGTCAGGGGCCAGGAAGGAACCGAAATCCCAGCATCACCGACGGCCCACCAGGTAGGTCAGGCAGAATCCAG